GTCATGGGATCGATTTTCGAGAAACGTCGATTGTCAAAAACCGTATCGCGATATCTTCAATTGTACCATTAATACAGGGCGATTTTCGATTTTCCCCTATTATGAAAAATGGCTATAAGTTTTTTGTTTATCAATTTTTTTTATTTCTGTGAAAACATCTTTGGGATACTTTTTTGAGCACAATCCAGTGGCGTATTCAGTTTTTTTCTATTTCGCTCCCATTTTGAGATATTGACCAAAGTTCGATTTTTTTAAATAGGACACCCTATATATTAATAGCTCATTGGATAGCTCTGCTTTTCCTGATTTCAAATATATAAAGTTCGATAGGTTTATCTCTAACAGTTTTCGAGAAAAAAAAAATATCTGTTAAACAATGTGTTAGAAAGAGACCTTTCTCATTTTCCTTACACATATAAAATCCTTTTCTATCACATTGGACCACAAAAACAGATATAATTTTTTTTCTCCAAGACTGTTAGAGATAAACCTATCAAACTTTATATCATTGAAATCAGCAAAAACAGAGCTATCCAATGAGTTATTATATAGGGTGTTACATTTGAAAATATCGGACTTTGGTCGATATCTCGAAATCGGAGCGATATAGAAAAAAACTGAGTCCGCCACTGGATTATGCTCAAAAAAGTGTCTTCATAATGTTTTTACAGAAATAAAAAAAATTGATAAATAAAAAACTTATAGCTATTTTTTATAATAGGTGAAAATCGAAAATCGCCCTGTATCAATGGTCCCATTGAAGATATCGTGATACGGTTTTTGACAATCGACGTTTCTCGAAAATCGATCCCATGACGTCTAGGTCAATTTTCCTCTATCTGGTCTGGAAGTATGTTTTTCCTGTTGAAACACTCCAAATTGCAGCACCCTGTACACCACATTCTGGTAATCATATTATCTATTGTTTAAATAATGTACCTACTGGTAAAAAAAATTATTATAAATTTAGAGGGTTAGCATACTTCAAGTTAGTCTAACGTGTCTGCTACCTTGGTACCGTGATAACGTTACGCTTTCAGTTATTTTGTTGTGATTTTGTATTTTATCATTATCATCACCATTTGGTATATTTTTCGTATATCAGAATGAATAAGTGGAAAAAAAGTGAATCAAAAACTAAACCATATACCACCCATAGTTTCCGAAAAAGAAATAATTCTTCATATAATATAGGAAACTACAAGTAAGTACCCATAAAGAAAATGAAAAATTAAAACTATTGTTGGGCTAACGAATGTTCGGTGCTACGTCATCAATACTCGAATCAATCACAGACGTTTCAATTTGCTGCTGTTTTTATTGCACGCGCACTGTGTTTGTCAAACCGAAAAAGGCCCGAACGTCTTAGCTGTCGTGATTTATAATGATGACAGTGATGCCGCAACACCCAACTTTCGTTAGCTAAACAATCTTAATAATTAAGTAATAATAAAATACAAAAGTGATATACTTACAGGGTTGTCGAAATTGGGTCTACATTTATGGAAAAAGGATTAGAGGTGCGAACACGTCTTTTTTTCGCAAATGATTATCTAGATTAAAAACCTGAAATTTTTATTTGTTTAAAATTCAATATTTTCCAAGGAACATTTTCGTTTTCTCCAAAAATACAGAAAAAGTCAAAACTAAGGCCCTGTTCAGTTCTCGTTGGAACACCCAGTACACATACCTATTACCTGTATGAATTATATAGTAAATTAGTTATTATAGGTATTTTCCTAACAAGTGCGGGAATTTTTTTTCCGCATGCCTTAGGAACAATTGTTTTTCTTCGAGCGTGAGAAGATAATAAAAATAGATATAGTCATTTTTTTTAACAGCAATAATTTTATAGTAGGTAATTTGGGTTTTATTAATTTTTAATAAATATCTAGTCAAATAACAATTACTTGCTAGAATTGATACAGGATTTTTTGTAGAAAACACTAAAACTAAAAATGTTTCCGCAGGTTAATCGATTTTTTCTACGACTACCCCAGAAAGCTATTAAAAACGCACTACTAACTACCTAGAAAATCAATTATTTCGAACAGCGTGCAAAAAGTATTTTTTTTACTACTAACCTGAGAAATAGACATTATTCAATCTATTTTTCTAAGAAAAAATTGAATTTCTCTCCCTAGGTTAATAATGAAAATAATGAAAAAATACCTAGGTCAATAATGAAAATGACGTCATGACGCAAGGATATTGTCATGTTTCTATTGGTTCAATTTCAATTTCATACGTCAATTTGAAAAAAAATACAGGTTTCTGTAGGTACATAGGAAGTTATATAAGCTGTTGATAGAGGGCAGCACCTTCAAGAGGGCGTTCACAAAAAATAATTACAACACAGATTTTAAACAAATTTTTTATTTTTTACTAGCAGTAGGTAGTAAAAAAAATTCTATATATTCCTCGGTAGAGAAAGTCATTATATACCTCAAGCATTATAAACCTCGGCGCTGCGCGCCTCGGTTTATAAAAGCTTTCGGTATATAATGACCAACTTCTCTACCTAGGTATATAATATACTATTTTTTACTACTTACCTGAGAAATAGTCATTATTCAATCTATTTTTCTAGGAAAAAATTGAATTTCTCTCCCTAGGTGAATAATGAAAATAATGAAAAAGTCCCTAGGTCAATAATGAAAATGACGTCATGACGCAAGGATATTGTCATGTTTCTATTGGTCCGATTTCAATTTCATGCGTCAATTTAAAACAAAATACAGGTTTCTGTAGGTACATAGGAAGTTATCATAAGCTGTTGATAGAGGGCAGCACTTTCAAGAGGGCGTTCAAAAAAAAATAATTAGAGCACAGATTTTAAGCAAATTTTTTATTTTCTACTAGCAGTAGTAAAAAAAATTCTATATATTCCTCGGTAGAGAAAGTCATTATATACCTCACGCATTATAAACCTCGGCGCTTTGCGCCTCGGTTTATAAAAGCGCTCGGTATATATAATGACCAACTTCTCTACCTAGGTATATAATATACTATTTCACACGATCCGGAGCTTGCGAAAAGTACTTTTCGCACGCTAAAATAAGAATGACACTTCCACTGAATTTTTTTCTGCCAATTATGATGGTATTTAATTTTTTTTTGCAATTTTAGTTTATGGCAACCTAACTTGAGTCATTGAATAATCATCCAGAAAATTAAACATAATATCGTCTATAAAGTGAATATTTCTAGTGTTTTTGTTAATAAAAAATATAAATAAATATGACATTCAAATTTGACATTTCTCCTTCTGTGCATTCAACGGACGTAACTTTTTGAAGAAAATCTATTAGCTAAAGCCAAAAACTAGAAAAAAAATGAAGAATTTAACATGTAGGTCCTTAATAGTAGAGGGCGCTGTTTGTTACAACTATATTTGAATTTGAATACAGAATAATTATTTGCGCAAATTATTACATTTATACTTAAATCTACAAATAATGAGTGAAAATTGTACTGCCCCGGAAATTGCAGAAAAAGCGTCCGAAGTAGCAGAAAATCTTCTTCTTTTGACTTCGAAGGAAAGATATCAAGGAAGTTATGATAAGTTTATGAACTGGAGACAAGTAAAAAACTTGAAATCCTTTCCAGAAAATATTTTCCTGGTTTATTTTGAGCAATTATCTGAGAAATATAAATCCTCAACAATGTGGTCCCAATATTCAATGTTGAAGAGCACAATAAATATCAAGCATAATATTGATATATCCAAATACTCAAAATTACTTGCATTTCTAAAAAGACGAGGGAAATCTTATGTGCCAAAAAAATCAAAAAATTTTAACACCTGAGAATTTTGAGAAATTTCTGAATACTGCTCCGGACAATGTTTATTTATTGATTAAGGTACTCACCTACAAGATGTATTTTTATTGAATGGTATCCCTACCTAATTATGAAACTGAAATTACTTACCTATGGGGCATTCCATACAAAATTTGCCACCAAAAATTTTTTTTCCATAAAAATATTTTTTTTCGTTGAAGTTGTCGAAAATATTCGATACGTATTTTTTTATTCTTACTTTTTACGCGTTATTTTCGAGAAAAAATTTTTCGAAATTTTACTTTCGTAAAAAAGTACATTTTTCCAATCGTTAATACTGAAAAACCTAATATAGGTATGAAAAAATTTCCAGAACATAAAATTTACCCATTTTCTCAGATTTCTAATGAGGTATACTAAATTTTCATCATATCATTTATTCGAAGAAAAAAATTACAAATTTATAAACAAATAGAATTTTTTTAAACATGGACCTAATTTTTTTTCTTTTTTTCTATCGAAAAACATAGTCCAAACATTCTTCTGAATTATGGAAAAATTTTGGAGTGGAAGGCTCAAAAGTTAAGGAGCAATGCATTTTTATATAACGGTTCGCGCGCGCGGAGCGTACCGCAGCGCGACTCGGTCGTACGCAGGCTGCCGTGTCTAGACTTGTCGCGTTAGACATCGCGCGCTCGCACTTACCGTTAACTACGTCCCGGTAATGAACGCAAAGTGAAAATGTTGTCGAAAATGTCGCGATCCCAATTTAAGGATCGTTGTTGCAATCCATTTAACTTAAAAAATCACAGTGGAATTAGTCAGAAGAGAAATTTGCGTCAAGTTTCGGCTGCCGTTCTCAAAAAATTTGATTTCTTGCATTCAAGTGATGTCTTGTGTCCAATGTGTAGGCAGAAAGCAACGAAAATGCAGGAAAATGATATTGGTGAGTATTCCGATAATGATTCTATGAAATTAAAAACAAATTTTGAAATAATCCGAGTTTAACTATTTGCAGCTGTGGCGATCAAAAATTCCGTTGATGAAACTGTATACTCAGATTCTGATTTTTCCGAGAGTGACGATGATTGTTGTTCAATTTTCAGCAATCATTCGGAGGTCAATAAAAAATAAAATTTGATACAATATTATTACTCAAATTACTATTTACAATGATACATGTTTTAATTCGAAAATGTTAATTTTTCTTCCTTTAGGATGAAGAAGAATTGCCTTCTGCATACATTACAAAGCTTAAAGAAAAATTCCATCAGAAAGATGCAAGTAAATCAGATAAAATAAGTATTCTGAGCCTTTTGCCAAAAAATTGGAGTATTCGCAAGGCAGCGCAAATATTTAACACGTCAAGATATCTTGTTAAAAAAGCGAGAAATTTGGCAATGGAAAAGGGAATTTTAGCTATTCCTGAAATGAAAAGTAATGCATCGATTCGTTTATCAGACTTATCATATTTTTATGCGAAAAATTGAGAGATTTGTGTTTTCCACAGAGAAACCATTTCCTCCTGAAATAATCGTTCTGGTCAAACAATTTTACGAACGTGATGATGTTAGTATAATGATGCCAGGTCAAAAAGACACAAAGTCGGTGAAAATTAATGGGAAAAAGTGCACTGTACAAAAAAGATTAATATTTGGGAATCTCAGACACGTTTATGAGAAATTCATGGATGAAAATGAAGAGATCAAAATATGTTTTGCAAAATTCTGCTCACTCCGACCAGAGCACTGTATTTTTGCTGGTTCCGGTGGTACGCACAATGTTTGTTTATGTCCGATTCATGAAAACATGAGATTAATGACATCAGGTACGTAAAAAATTTTTTTTTCGCTATTTTTTTCCGTAACACTGAATTTTTTTCATCTTCAGGCAGTCAATTGGTTAAACTGATGAAAGACAAAAATTATAGTGTGGCCCATTACGAAGATGTGTTGCTGCATTTTATGTGTAAAAATCCAAAGGAAGAATGTTTTTTTGGGAAATGTAAGACGTGTCCAACTACCAATCAAATGTCAAACAAAATTTCTGAAGTTCTCGAAAAAAGTGGAGTCAAAAACATGACGCACAAAAAATGGGTAACAAAACCAAAAACAAGTTTGGAAAAAATAACAGTCACTTCAGAAGAGTTTGTTAAAAGTTTTTGCATAGCTGCAAGAATATTCCTGCAACATTCTTTCATCGCCAGAAAACAAGCTTCACATTTTAAGTTCGTGAAAAATAATCTCGAAAATCATGAGAGTCTGATAATCTGCGATTTTGCCGAAAACTATGCCTTCGTTATTCAAAACGCTATAACGGGATTCCATTGGAATAACGACCAAGCAACGATATTTCCAATAGTTTTTTATCACAAAATCAATAACAAAGTTGAACACAAAACATTAATTATCATTTCTGACTGCAAGAAACATGATGCAATAGCTGTGTACGTTTTTCTCGAAGCCCTGAATCAATACTTTTCACAAAATTATCCACACATACGGAAGTGCATTTATTTTTCTGACGGCGCTCCTCAGCAGTTCAAAAATGTCAAACATTTTGCGAATATCTTCTATCACGAATCCGACTTTCACCGCCCTGCACAATGGCATTTCCACGCAACGGCACATGGAAAAGGACCTTGCGACGGTGCTGGGGGAACCATCAAAAGAATAGCACGCCGAACAAGTTTACAAATGATCACCGATGATCAAATTTCCTCGGCAATCGAACTGTACGAGTGGGCTAAGAAAGCTTCTTCTCTGCCTAATATCTCGGTGATGTACAGGTCTTCGGAAGACTATGCAAAAGCGGAAAAATTCCTTCAGAATCGTTTCGAAAAATGCAGAACCATATCAGGAACACAATCGTTTCACTATGTTGAGCCAAACCAAGATTGCAAATTGAAAATGAAAGTCTTCTCATCCTGCGACACTTTCGACATATTGAGTTTCCATAAATCAGAAGACAAACGTGAAAACAAACGTAACTGATTGTATTGTAACTCTCGGATGTATTAAAAAGCTGTATGATTGACATTTACGATAATAAATACGCATTTATTATTCCGCATGAAGGTTTAACGAACATTTTACCCAGCGCGTAGGCGTCAAGAACTTTTACGGTCCAGCCTGCGTACGACCGAGTCGCGCTGCGGTACGCTCCGCGCGCGCGATCCGTTATATAAAAATGCATTGCTCCTTAACTTTTGAGCCTTCCACTCCAAAATTTTTCCATAATTCAGAAGAATGTTTGGACTATGTTTCTCGATAAAAATAAAGAAAAAAAATTAGGTCCATCTTTAAAAAAATTCTATTTGTTTATAAATTTGCAATTTTTTTCTTCGAATAAATGATATGATGAAAATTTAGTATACCTCATTAGAAATCTGAGAAAAGGCGTAAATTTTATGTTCAGGAAATTTTTTCATACCTATATTAGGTTTTTCAGTAGTAACGATTGGAAAAATGTACTTTTTTACGAAAGTAAAATTTCGAAAAAAAATTTCTCGAGAATAACGCGTAAAAAATAAGAATAAAAAAATACGTATCGAATATTTTCGACAACTTCAACGAAAAAAAATATTTTGATGGAAAAAAAATTTTTGGTGGCAAATTTTGTATGGAATGCCCCTTATATTTTTTAGGCTGTTGTTGCTATAGTTTTATCTGGGGTTGTAAAAGAGAGGAATTATGCCAATTGAAAATTGACGATATGCAGGATTTAAACTCTGCGTACTTGATAAAAATTGAACATACCAAAAACAAGATTCCAAGATCTTTCACGGTTACTGGAAAGTTTTTCGACATTTGCAAAAAATATACCAATTTACGTCCTTTTTACACCACCGAAAATAGTATATTGTTTTATTAGGAGTAAAAGTGATACTTTTTGTGGCGAGTCTAAATGTTTGACGCCCGAACGTAGTGAGGCCGACAATTTTAGACGAGCCACAAAAAGTGCTTTTCTCCGAATAAAACATACGATTTTTTCCGCAAACGGTGTTCAAAGCGATAGAATCTAGGAAATTTCTGTGACGTCACTTTTTTGTCCGGCCGTGAACGTACAGAAAAGTACTTCTTCTCCGAATGACAGTAAAAGCGGACTTTTAATGACACTTGACAGGATCAAAAGTTGCCTAGGCAGTAAAAGTGGACTTTTACTGCCTAGGCATTAAAAGTGACAGTGTCACAACGTTCCAGGTAATAATTTCACTCAATTTGGTATTTGAAATTGATGGTGACAATGACAATTGTCAAAATAATTTAATTATTTGGATAATAGTAATGAATGAAATAAATATAAAAAAGATGTCCATGTGTGAGTTTGAACATTCGGAGAAAAAATTATATGTTTTACATGTCAGAAAAGTAGATTTAATGCCTCGGCTGGTTTCCTAGCCTGGGCTATGCCTCGGCTATGAAACACCAGCCGCGGCAATAAATCTTTTACTTTTCTGCCTAGTAAAACAAATAACTATTTTTGTACGCTTACGGAACGCGCGGACAAAAAAGAAACCAAAAAAATGACGTCTGTGAAGTCAAACTTCAACATTAAGAATTGAGGTTAAAAAAGTCGTCATTTTTTGACGTTTGCGGAAAAAAGGTTTTTCTTAAACTATAGAAACGGTAAATGTACGAAACAAGTAGTGTTAGAACGAATAATTTCCACCAATTCATAAAAATGTTTATTCCGAATTGGTATCTGTCTTTCATGTGGAATTACATTCATATCTTCCACTAAATATTCAACTGCATTGACCTAAAAATCATCAGACTTAATTAAAATATTAAAATGGCAGGATTGGCAATTGATATGTATTGGATACTTAGACTTTGGATACCTATGTTTAAAATGAAGGATTTAGAGGTGAACTCGATAAAGGACTGGTATTTAATACTACAGATTTATCTACCCTGGAAATTTCGTTGAAGTTATTAGATAGGTATAGGTACTTAGCATATAGTACTCAAAATAAACTATTTCAAGCGTACTTACCAAAACGTTGAGATTCATATCTTCTTCTAACAACTCATCAATCGCGACTATTAAATTATTGTGAGCCATATTTAAATTTCTGCAATTCTAGGTAAAAATCACAATAAAAAACAACAAGAAACGAAACTAGGTTATAGGTTATGTTATTTCAAAACAAAAACCCATTAACGATTAGATTCAACGCATCGTTCAGCCGGGCGCCTTGAGTTGATAAGCAGCATACTCAACACGTTGAGTGATAAATGCCAACGGTTGTGCACGGCTGAACATACCCATTGATAATCAGTGATTCAGAAACTGGATCCGACCATAGACTGTTTTTAATCAGCGTGCATTAGTGGGTGAGTATTAAGGTACATTTGAAAAAAAAAACTTCTGTTTCTTTTCCACTGCTGTTCGAAGAACTGAAAGTGGTCAGTGGACAAGCTTTTGGACCTTCAGCTTCAGCGTTCAAAATACTGTTGCAATGTTGCATTCATGATAAGTTATTTATCTTATTAGCCTATTAGACAAACAGTTAGAGCAGACTGCATCCGTATCCACTATATTATCCATAATCATATTTTGGATACATTTTTATTGAATAATTTTTTGATTTTTTAATTATTGAAGATGACATGTTTCTTACAACATTGTTGGAACATGCTAAAAAGCAATCTGGGTTATTCCAGGATAAGAAATTAAACAATGGAGACGAAACAAATGTTGAATCAGAAATTATGCCGGGTGTCACCATATGAAGCAAACATTGAAGAGTTTGACTTGGAGTTTGAATCAATACCAGAAACTCCTTTTTTACTGTCCCCTCCAATAAGCTCTCTACCTCGCTCTGTACCAAACTGATAAGGACTAATTTATTAAAAGAAAATAATAATAATAATGTTACTTCTGAGAATGTTTGATTCTATGATTCTACATGTCATGTAGGTACTGAGGTACCTACCTACTTTTGGGTGAGGAACTGCATTTTTGTTTAGCTTAATGCTCATTATAGTGAAAACGATCAAAGTGAGAAGTTCTTTAGTGTTTGGTTCTGTGCTTGTTCAATTCAATTAAGTAGAAAATGGCATCTCCTGGACGAGTACCAAGAACTCATCCTTCCCAATGGGCTATTGTAGTGGAATTTGTTGAGCGTCATCCCGAAATGGTCACCCATAAATTTGTTGGCATTAACGGCCGGGAAAATGTCAACAAACTATGGGCAGAACTCTCAGTGACATTAAACAGCATGGGATTTGGATTGAAAGAATCCGAAAAATGGCAGGAGGTATGTACCTACTTTCTTGTATTGATTTAACTTAAATTACAGATTCAACATCACAATGAAATAATATTCCCTTTGTGATGATGTTGTCTTCTAAAAAAAAACTGAATAATTTTTACAAAAATATGTGCTAACAGAATAAATAATATTTAAAAATGTGTTTTAGCTATTTGGAAAATGGAAGAGCATGGTCAAAGTGAAAGCTCAAAATTTGATGAGCAAGGCGCAAAAAACTGGAGCAGGAGGACCAGAACTTTCTCTTTTACTAGAATTAACATCGGTAGAAAAAAGACTAATGGCAATTATCGGCTGGAAAATTGTGAAGCGGGATATGGAAAAAGAAATGGGTGTAGTAAGTTTATATTGACGTTTATTATGTTATTTCAACTATTATGTAGGATATAGAACATAGAACATAGGTAGTTATCTATGAAACTAATGCATAAAGTAGGTTTTGGCTGAAAAAGAGGCTTTTGATCTGTGTTGCATAACTCCCTACATTTTCTATATTTCCTTACCTACCTAATATTTGAAATGAAAATAAGTTCATAAATGAAATTTATTAAAAAAACCATGACTTTTTATCAAAATTTGTTCGTTGTGGTCTAGACATTTTTCGTTACTATTGCTTGATTTTTTGCCAAGTGTGAAATAAAGTAAAAAAGCCCATCTTTTCATAAGATTTTATTTTCACAGTTATTAATGTTAATAATTGTTGCTTCAGTTTTTCTATTGCTGAGAAAATGGGAATATTAAATGGTCGTATAAAAAAATTCTAAATACTTCTATGTATTTTCAGGAAAATGTGTTTGATGCAGAAGAAAATCAAGCAGGGAACCCAGGAGAAAGACCAGCATCATCCAAAAGATCATTGATGTTTGAGAATTAATACCTTGATTTGCCCACTTCCAGGGACTTCATTCTGTTCCAATTTCCTGCCCGACACTGAAATGGAAGGTGTGTTATGGATGTTCCTCCTCTACTTGCACTATCTAATAAAAGGAAACCACTGGAGAGTGCCCCTATTACTAAAGACAAAGAAGTCGCAGAACCAAACGCGTCTCCTGAAACTGTTACTCCAGTTACTCCTGCAACAAAGAAGGTGAAACTCACACCCACACCGAGCAAAAAAACCAATTGCGAGGCAAAACATCTTCTGGAGATGCACTCAGAAAATATGAGTGTGCTACAAGAAATCAATACTAATTTAGTAAGGCTTGCAGACTCTCATAAGGCCCAGACAAAAAAAATTTCAGAGCGTCTGGACGTCCTGAAAACAAAATTTTAGTTTTTGAAATCTTTATTTTTTATTATAGATATTTAGGTATAGTATGTCGGTACCTCGTATGTAGCTCGTGATCTATCATTTTTATGTTTATTTTTTACGAGTTTCTTTGGTTTAGGTTTATTTTAGTATTAATGTACAAATGTTAAATTTATGTTAATTTTCTAGATATTTTGTAATATATATTTTTTTTTTGGTGTAGATTGTTTTTGAGGTTGTTTTGTATAAATGCTCATTCAATTGTGCCTAAAAATTAAGTAAACTTATAATATGTATATTACGTATTTATTAAGTACCTATGTTTGTTTATTTTGATTCGATGTTTCTGAAAAAATAACCAATATTTTTTCTCCTTTAGTTAGCATTTATATATTTTTTGTTTATGTAAATGCTTGAATAAATCTGTTATTGTTGAAATGTTTAATTTATGTTTATTTTCTAGAGATTTTGTTGTTGTTTTTTTTTTTGATGTAGGTTGTTTTTGAGGTTTTTTTCTATTAAATGATCATTCACATTCAATTATTGTGTTTGAAAATTTTATTAAATTTATAATATGTTACGAAGGTATTTGTGTTTGTTTATTTTGATTTAGTGTTTCTGGAAAAATACCCAATATTTTTTTTTTCTTTGAGTTAGCATTTTTTTGTTTATGTAAATATTTGAATAAATCTGTTATTGAAAATACACACTTTTTTACGATTTTTATTACATATTTATTTATCTTCTAAAATACCCATTCACAATTTGTAGTTGTATCCTTCTCGCCTCGTTCAGAATATCAAGAGGATTGTTTCCTGGAATATCGGGATGATTACTAGAATGTGGGATACAATCCAAATTCCAAATACAGGTAAAGTCTGTTTTTTTTTTAAAGATAAAAGTCAAAATGACATTATCTTGGCAATACAATGTAAAATTGTCAATGCTTTGAAATTTTTTATGTAGAAAAGGCTTGCGTTGCTAACATAGTTACTAAATTTTTGACTTGGGGCATTATCTTAAAAAAAAAAACAGACTTTACAGGTTAAACCTCCGGTTAATCTGATTTTATTACTTATATTTGTGAAAAAAACCAAGTCGTGGTCTCAAAAATTTCAATATCAAGTTAACATGTTTCACCCAATAATGGGCATCATCAGACCTTAAACTGAACTCTTGGAGTGAGTGTATAAAACAGACGAGTAATGTCAGCTCTATTTGCTGACCATTCATATAAACTGCTTAATTCGCTTTTCTTTATTATAAATATCGCTGCCCGCCTAGAATAGTTAGTCAGTTGAATTGTAATTATATTTCTTATTTGAAACTTTGTAACGCGAACGCGAAAGTATTTCTCTATTGTAATTTAGTGAATAAATTGTTTTTTAAAAACTTGTTATCGGCCTACGTATTGATAACTGGCGCAGTCGTCCGGATTTTTTGTTTTTGGAACTGGTTTACGAACTTTTCGGAAATCGGACTAACCGGGAACTCGAATCTACACCCTTGTGTGAAAATCGTGTTAAGTGTTTGCGAGAAGTGTCGGAGTGGCTTTACGAAATCGAAAACCAAAGAACTGCCTTCAAGCAATCGGATTATTGGACCAAAATAGCCAATATTCGCGAGACCAGGATTAATTTGGAAGGATAAACATAGCCTACCAGAAATTCTTGGCCTTATAAATGTTGCTCTACGGAATAATCTTCATGTAAGTGCAATGTGCAATTTGTAATTTCTTTAATGTCTGATATTGATGAATTAACAGAAAGATTATTATCTCTATCTCTACCTTCAACTGACTCACCTTCTGATACAGAAGAGTTTATAAGAAATATTAATCAAACATTAAATAACAGTGCTGCAGTTACTGATACAGGCACTAATCAAAATAATTTAATTTTAAATAATATTAATACAATTAACAATATGGCTCAATTTAAACCTGAGTACTTAAATTGCGTACCACAATTCGATGGTAACCCTAACGATTTGAATAGATATTTGGCAGTATGCCAAAGTTTAATTGATAATTTCTATGATGCAAATCAACCAAACCATTTTCAAAATATTTACTTGATAAATTGCATCATTGGAAAACTAACTGGGAACGCAAAATTGATCCTAGGTACAGAAAATGTTACTACTTGGGATAATTTGAAATTAACTTTGAGCAGGCATTTTGCAGATCAAAGAGACGAGGCATGTTTAAACAGAGATCTCGTAATGTTGAGACAACAAAACTCAGAAAAGCCTAGTCAATATTATGACAGGGTTATGCATATTTTAAACCTGCTTTGTTCTTATGTAAATAGTCATGAAGTTGACCAAAATGCGAAAAATTTAAAGCGAAATTTATACAATGATCTTGCCCTTAAAACTTTCTTATCAGGCTTAAGGGAACCATTGGGAACAACAATTAGGTGTATGCGTCCCAAAGACCTTCCCGAAGCTTTACAGTTTGTCACACAGGAATATAATACACAATATTTTCAGAATATAGCTAAAACTCAACAAAAACATCCCTCACAGCACTTCAAACAAAATACACAACAAAGATACAATAATTCCAACACATTTAATGCTAATACACCAAATAACACGTTCACTCAACAAAAATTTCCATCCCAACCTATTCATGTGAGACCTGATTATAATAAAATACAACAAAAATTCCCAACTAACTCACAGGTCTTCAAAAATAAAAATCAGACCAATGTATTTAGACCAGGTCAAAACAAAAATTTTCCTAGACCTACCCCAATGTCTACAACGACAAGACAAACCTATTCTGCTACCAATGCACCACAAACTTCTGGTAATAATTATTTCCAAGTTACGCAACCACGTAACTTTATTTCAGAAGAACTATATAATACAAATACGACGAACGTCACTGACCTTTCTTACACCGAAAATGATCAAGAGTCATATTATTATGAGACCGAAGTTGACCCTCAACAAAGTTACAATTATTCCAATAATTATAACGATTCAAATAATGAATTCCAAACCACTGAACTCGTAGAATACGACACAGCTGGTTCTTCGGAACAATCAAATTTTCAGGAAATTCAGTCAACCAACCCTGCACCCTAGAATCACCTGAAATAATTTCATTCAATAACGTCAACGCAAGTGAGCTGTCCTATATCGTCTTTCCTGAATGCAATCTCAAATTTCTCATAGATAGTGGCTCCACCAAGTCGTTCATAGACCCCGACTTAGCTCAAAAATTCTTTCCAAATCACATAAGCTATGAGCCATTCATCGTTTCAACTGTTTTCCAACAATCAGCACATCAATACAGTGCTCAAATTCCCGCTTCAAAAATTTTTAATCTACCTAATAGGAAACCTTTGAAATTTTATTTATTTAAATTTCATAACATCTTTGATGGCCTTATAGGACTTGATAATCTAAAAATGTTACAAGCTAGCATAAACTATGAAACAGGATTCTTAGTAACTCCATTTGCAAAAATCAAGTTACAATTCCAAAGAACGAACATAAACCAAGCATATAATATCACTCTCTCACCACGTACCGAACAGCTTGTGAAAATTAAAACCAGCATACATGATGGCGAAGTTATAATTCCATATCAGAAAATGCATAATTGCGAGATTCCGAACTCCCTAAGCATTGCAAAAAATGGATACGCTTTAACGACAATCTTGAACAATACATGTCAGCCAATTATATTAGATCTTTCACGACCAATTGAAGTGGAACCATTTAATAGAGAAGAAATAGAACAAATTGATCTAAATAATTTTGTGGCATCAAATTACGATACTGATATTTTTGACTATACTGGAATTCGCACAGATCACCTTAATTCAGAAGAGAGAGCCAAAATAATTGAATTATGTAGAAAATATTCGGACATATTTTACCAGGAAAATATGCCATTGACATTCACGAGCGAAATAAAACACTCTATAAAAACAACAGATGAACAGCCTGTATATACAAAAACATATAGGTACCCATTCATTCATAAGCAAGAGGTTGAATCACAAATAAGGAAAATGCTGGACCAGAATATTATACGCCCAAGCAATTCTCCTTGGTCTGCACCTATTTGGGTAGTCCCAAAAAAAGCAGATGCTTCTGGGAAGCAGAAATGGAGAGTCGTTATTGACTTCAGAGGCGTCAATGCAAAGACCATGCCAGATAGATACCCTCTTCCTAACATAACGGACCTTCTGGATAAGCTAGGGAAGTGTCAATATTTCACAACTTTAGATTTGGCTAGTGGGTTCCATCAAATTCAAATGAATGAAAAGGACATTGAAAAAACGGCGTTTAGTACAGAAAATGGCCATTTCGAGTTTCTCAGAATGCCCTTCGGTCTATCCAATGCCCCCGCCACATTCCAGAGGGTCATGGATGGCATCCTACGAGGAATCCAAAACGAGAAGTGCCTAGTTTACCTTGATGACATTATAGTCTTCTCGTCGTCATTACAGGAACACTTGGAGCGATTAGAAACCGTATTCCAAAGATTGAGAGAAACGAATTTTAAGATCCAATTAGATAAGAGCGAGTTTCTAAGGCATGAAGTAGCCTACTTAGGACACGTTATAACACCTGAAGGAGTACGTCCTAA